ACCTGTATACACCCAGACCCTCCCTCCTCCATCTTCCTGACTATGGCCTAAATGATCTAGAAGCATACAAATCTGAAGGGCCACTAAATCAGAAGAGTGGTCACTCTTAGCTCAGAATGCAGACAACTTGCCCCAACCCATCCTGCCGCCTCAGCACATAGCACACAGTTTCTCTTCCTCTCCAGGGATCTGGGATCCTGGTTTTGTCTTTGTTTTGTTTTTCTCGTCCCTCCATCTCACTTTGTACTTTTCCATCATGGCATTTGCATATATGATTCCTCTAACTCAACTAGTCAGCAATGCCTGGTTCTTGGGGCTCTGTGGCTTTTTAAGGTCTTCTCCTTTTCTCCATGGGAACCCGCCCACCTGTCTGTGTTACCTATCCTAAACTCAGACATTAGACATCAGCTCGCTTCCACAGTCTGTTCCGAAGCATCTTCTGTGCCTGTGTGTGCAGTGCATCTATGTGGCTGGGACCCTGGCAACCTTTCACGATGAGGTAACCAGTGTGACTCCTTATGCAGTGGCCAGGTCTCTCTAAGATGGCCGTGGTGAGGCTCAGAGGGGCTTTGGGGGTTCTTGGGCTCCACACTTTGCACAGTATCATTCCACTATGCACATCAAGGCAGGTCGCAGGTATTGCTAGACCCAGGACTGACAAAACAGACACTTCAATATCCCTCGGTGGAGGAGAGGCTAAGTGTGTGTGAATCCTGTTTTCTGACCTGCGCCATCCACCCCATTCTCCTGGTATGTAATTCCTCTTTTCTGAAAGATGCCAGAGCTCTGTTACCTGTAAGCCTATCAATGGAGGAATGAAGGTGGCTATGGTGGTTTGAATAGGAATGATCCCCACAGGCCCATGCGCTTGAATGCTTGGTCTACTGGGAATGGCAAGGCACTTTTAGGAGGTGTGGCCTTGATGGAGTAGATGTGGCTCTGTTGGAGGAAGTGTGTCACTGTGGGGGAGGGCTTTAAGGTCTCAGAAGCTCAAGCCCAGGCTCAGTGGCATACTCTTTACCTGCTGTGGATCAAGAAGTAGAACTCCCAGCTCCTTCTCCAGCACCTTGTCTGCCTGTACGCCACCAGGCTTCCTGCCATGATGACAATGGACCAAATCTCTGAAACTGTAAGCCAGTCCCAATTAAATGTTTCCTTTCTAAGAGTTACCTTGGTCACAGTGTCTCTTCACAGCAATAGAAACCCAAACTAAGACAGTGGCTTTTCTCACTCCAAGTTGCAGAGCCCTAAGTGTTTGCACTGTGAGCTGTGATCCTCCACCCAGTGAGATGTAATCTCAGCCTAAGTGAAGGCTCAGGTGTCTCTTGTCACAGAAATTGACCCAGGCTAGGCCATCCATTATTTAAATGTCTGCAAAGGAGTGGAGCTTGCAATACATGTTGGGACATCACATGTCAATTTAAAAGTAATTGATCATGCAGAGGTTTGTAGTCTCCTCAACCCATGCTTCTTGTCCTAGAGGGCTTCAGGAAGTTCCACGGGTCCTGTCTCCAGACGGGTCAGGTGTCGTGGGTACCAATGGTACCCTTGGATGCCTCTCACTGTCTGGCTTCCTTCTGGAACTGAGCTCACAGGCAGACAAGCACTCCTGCAATGTAGGGCAGTGATTTATGCTCACTGACTTTCTTTGTACCTTGACAATAGCCAGTGTCAAGCACCAGATTCCTTTGCTTCCAGAAAGTAGCAGCACCAAAGAGCAAGCCGCTCCTGGAAGGCAGCACCTGCCCGTTCTTCTGTGTAAATTCTTCCGACGTATCCAGTCCAGGCTGAGGGGATGCATAGACAGGGTCTGTGCTTGTGGATGTCTAGAGATGGCCCAGCACCTGAGTACCAGGAGCTCACCTGAATTTCCTGTCCCCATTTTCAAATCTTCCTCTGATGGAGAAAGAGGAAGGCAGGGAGAGAGGAGGAGCTGCAGTGTGGAAAGAATGGGGAGACCCAGCTGGGCGGGGGAGCTTGCCCTCTGGCAGGCAATGTGACCCGCCAGTGCCCCCATGAGGCTCCACTCCTGCCGTCTGCTTTAATAAACTCTAAACTCCAGTGGCTTATGTGAAGATTTCAGATTAACATTTAAATTAATGCTGGACTTGAAATATGGAGCCCAGGTCGCTGATGTGACTCTCCTTTAACATGTTCTGTGACCTGGGGCAGAAATTTAAAATGATCTTTTCTCAAAGAGCCGTTCCTCCTTGGGGAGGTAGAGGATAGTGTGGCAGTGTCAGGGGTACCCCTCCCACCCATCCTGTCCTTTCCGGAACCTGATGGTGTCTTCTTGGCCCTGAGGAAGCTCCCCCAAACCATGGCTGTGGGTCCTCCCTCTGGAGGTTTTGTTTTCTGGGTAGCTCCTCAATGCTCCAGCCCCACACTGGCTGAGCCTAGACAGAGAAGTAACGCTGAGGTCCCGATCCTAGGATTTGGTTTAGTGAGTAGGTCACACACAAGAGAAGTAAGTACTCTGCTTAGTCGCTGGGAGGGGAGGAAAAGGAGCAAGATGGGCTAGGAGAGGAACATTTGGCCAGTGATAGCTCTGCACCCCACAGTGGACACCACAGTGATCCCCTTGGCCTCAACAGCCAGCATTCCTGTCCTGCCTTGCCAGTTCACAGCCTACCCTAGGGAGGGTGACCATGACCTGAGACTTGGGGCTGAAAAGCTTCCAGACACAACCACAGTCCTTCCTGGGAGAGCCAGGGGCGTGCAAACCCATCCTTTATTCTTGTTCTACCATCCCTGCTCTCCCCTGCTCTTTTACCCTCCATGAGGGATATGGAAGCCCACTGGGAGGCGCTGGCCTCACAGTTCATCACTGGGCATCTCATTGTTTCCTGTTCCTCACTGCCTAAGACCAGCTTCAGCCAGCAACTTCACTCTAGTAGTAGGAAAAGAAGGACCAAGGGTGAGCTGGCCCTTCTGGAAGTTTCCAGAACAAACAGTTGTAGAGCTGGCATGTGTCACTGGGAGGCATGCTTGCATTCCATGACCTAGGAGTGTAAGTAGCCCAGGACAGCCTCTCGGTCTCACAGGCTATGTCAACATAGTACCGACTGAATCATGGCCAGTTACATCTGTGACCACGGCCAAGCAAACCTTCCATCCTCATGGACCATGGTTGAGGAGAAACCCTAGCCATTCCACTGGAAGCCTCAGGCTAACTGCACAGGATTTACCAGCCAGTAACAGTCTCCCATCCACTTACTAACCAGGCCCAACCCTGCTTAGCTTCTGAGACCAGATGAGATTGGGCGGTATGACTGTATACTGGTCCAGTAATGGTAATAATGACTGACAACAGCCCATTCTGACCTGGCTGTCATTGGCAGGCTCAAGATGGTAGCCGGGCTTGCATGACACTAATACCTTAGTTCCAAGTCTGTGGCTGAGGGTAGCTCAGAGCTGCTGAGCTGGATGGACCACAGAGAGGGAGGCTCCAGCATTGCCGCAGGGCAGCACCCATGCCACTATAGAACCATCTCAACCTCTGCCTAGAAAGTGACAGGAAAGAAGCAAACACACTGCCACCAGCTACCTCCATACACGATCCATCCTTGGCTTGTTAGCCCAGCCTGTGGCACCTGCGCGATCAGAAGAGCACCTAACCCAGGGTCAGATCTCCATTGCCAAAAGCCAGTTCTGGGAGTGTGAGGTTACACTGCTCCAGCAAAGAGACTCCAGGGTAGAGATTCAGGGTGAAAAAGACGGCTTCTGAGTCACACACCAGCCTGGTGAACCATCTAGGCTGGCACGCAGCTCTGTCTGCACAAAGTACTTGGGACCTGGGTTTTTCCTGTTGCATTTCTTCAGCATCCCCAGAGCTGCTTCTGTGGCGCCGACCTCTTGTCCATAGATAGGTAGGGACAAGGAGTCCGGAGTTGGCTTCCAGTCCAGCTGAGGCGGTTGGTGTGGAGGCACCAAAGGCTTTATTACAGTAACAACTCATCTGTCTCAAGCTGGATGCTGAGCACTGAGAGGAAGGGAGAAAGATTTTAAGTGGGGGAGATCATCCAGAGAGCCCCTAAGAAGTGTGTTTCGGAGCTCACGGAGATGGACTTTTTTTTTTTTTTTTAGAACAACTCAGCAAAATAAAATTCCGGTTTATTGTTGGACATTGTTTCACACATACATCAAACAGGCCAAAAAAAAATAAACAGCAACTTCATAGACAAAAAAAAAAAAGGAAGAAAAAAAAGGAAACCTTTATCTTTGGCCTTTTTAACCATCTCATACAAACCAACTACTTATAGTACAGCTAGGTACTTTTAAGAGCAGGGGGCAACTTAGAGCAATGCTTTCCTGCGATGTAAGTGGCTGCTTAGGCCAAAGCCAAACCACCAGAGGGGCTCTGGGTTATCTGATGAACTGCCAGCACTAGCAACGTCCCTCAGTTACTACAGTGCCATCTATGTGCAAGGGACAGCATATGGCTTGGAAGGCCAGAATAGCAGGGCTGGAGAGATGGTCCGGTAATCAAAAGCCCTTGCTGCTCATGCAGAGAACTCAGGTTTGGTTCCAGCTGTTAAGAGGAAAGATGGCTTCCTAAATTCAGGGGAATGTCTCTTTGCTTTGCTTTAGTAAGGATGTCGTTTGTCAATTGAAACAGACAGAATACAATGATAGAAAGCTATATAAGGCCTAAGTTTGATTCCCAGCGCCCAGCAAATCCATCAGTCCAATGGCCTCCATGCACACCAGGCATGCACACTGTGCACAGACATACACATATACACATGAAATAGAAACATCTTTTTTTTTTTTTTAATAAAGAAAACCAAAAGGACCAGTGTACAAAAGGGGCATAAAGAATCCAGGGCAGCTTGGTCTTGGGAACTACAGAGCAGGGATCCTCTGTCTCTCAGCCAGAGCCCATGCACATCATTGGCCGCAGGAGCTCTGTGCCCAGGGGTGCAGCAGGCGCTTCCTCCACCCATTCTGCTCCCCTCCCCTGACCACACCATCTGTCTTGTTTAGCATGCAGGGCCCTGATGGATGAGGTGGAACATGACATCAACAAGGCTCGACAGAAGAAAACCAAGGTGGGCTCCTACCGAATCAGGCCTGACGGGACACAGGAGAGGAAAAAGGTAGCGGAAAAGGAATTCTGTGCCAGTATCTAATTGCGGATATGGGCAATTACGAGCCATTTATCCAAACAGCAGTTGGTCTTAATCTTCTAACCTTGCTCTTGTTCGGGGTGTCAGCTCTAAATTGCTTCTGAGTCCTGGGGGACCCAAAGTAATCTTTAAGCTTGAAATTGAAGTATCTCTCTCAGCACCTAAATTTTGTGTTTTGTCAAGTTGGAAGACATTTCGGCTCCGTCGTTCATCAGAATGAAAAATAGCAAGTCCATGGTTCTTGGGCAAGACCAGCAGGGGGCTCAGGGAGGTGATAGGGCAGACGCTCAAAGGCTGATCAGGCCCCTCTTGGGCGCTCCACCCCTCCTCCTTCCTGGTCCTACAGATTTCCAGTGAGCGGGGAGAGCAGGCTGCAAGCTCCTCTCTGCTTAGACAGGCCCATGCTCTGGGGAAAGGAAGGTCCTCCTTCAAAATGACTCAAAGGGGGCTCGCCCCAAGGGCCGGCAGTGGCAGTGCTGCAAGGAGAGTGGACTTGACCTGCATGCAAGAGGGCCAGCTGCCGCAGGGAAGGTCAGACATTTTTGGAGATACCACTGCTTCCAAGCACAGACAGTGAATTCCTGAGCTTAGAATAGCTGCCCTGCATGGAGTCTAGTCCATGTAAAGCTAAACAGCCACAGGAGTTGTGTGTGTGTGTGTGTGTGTGTGTGTGTGTGTACGTGTGTGTATGTGGTCACATGCTAGCAGTATTTTTTTTTTAAAAGCAGCTTTCATGTTTTAGTAACTTGAGTAAGGGTTAACTGATCCGTCGTTAGATCACTTGAATCAGCAGAATGGACCTTTTTAATGGGGTAATGGGGCAACTGAGGAAAAGTAAAGGAAGCAACTACTGTCCCATGGAAGAGCAGGCAAAGGGCACAAGGCTAGGAGGGCTCAGAAGGAAATGGGTAGCTGTTTGTCGGGAGCCACAGTATCCCAATCCTTAAACAATTTCTAATCCTGGAGATGACCTTCCAGAAAAAATAACACCCGTGATATTGACCACTGCGGAAAAGCCAGACACACAGCTGCTCAGGGAGTCGGATGTAATGGCCTGAGCATCTATCTCCCATCTCACCCTCCTGCAGCATCCTGCAGTGGCTTCACCAAAGGTGTCTGGGTATGAAAGCTGCACCCTCCTGGGTGTCTAATCTCAAAAAGGAGTTAAATTTACCACTCTCCTCTCCTGCTTGACCCACCTTGGTAAGCTTAGTCCAAAGAGGTTTTTTGATTTGCCAGGACTCAAAGTAACTTCAAAGTGTCCTCTCTATTGCATGTATTATGGAACATCAGACACAGAGACAAATGGGGGTTCAGTCCATCAGGGACTTTAGCAGCTGTTAGTGAGCCTTAAATCAGCTCACTGTGGTGGTTATAAGAACACATCTAAATGCCAGAAAGCATCTTCTAGAAAAAGAGAAGTCTATTCTGTGTTATTTTATATAACGTATTAATATAAAAATTAGACCAGGTCTAAAAATCCAAAAGCCACAAAAGCAGGTGGCCGTCCCCAGCATGGGAGAATAGCCCGAAGACACTTTGTTTGAGAAGACTGAACAATGTCATGCCCATTCCTGGCTGCCTATGCAGAAAATCCCAAGCCTCTCTGAGTACAGACTTTGGTGTCCGTGACTTTGGGTTTAGAGGCCTGTAACTTTATACAGACAGAGCCCAGACTGAGCACCCACATGCAGGGCCCACCCTGGCTCCAGGCTCCTGTGGCTGTATCCTTGGGGCTGGACTCAAAGTCTCCATAAGCTGATTTCCAGACTGAGAACTGTAGATCACATGAAAGATTCATGCCAACCACTGAGGTCTGAACTCTGCTTCCCAGACATGACTGAGACTAGTGTGAATGCCATGCTGCAGAAGGCCACAGCAGGCCTCTGGAGGGGCCTGAGGATGGCCTAGGGAGGGGCCAGGCAGTTTGATGGACATTAGTGTTATGGCAAAAGGAACAATGTCTTATGCTCCTTTATGATAGTGGGACATCACAGCTCACTTTCCACCCCCAGCTCCATCCTCCTCAGTCAAGAAAATCTCACCCTCACACCTAGACACACTAGAACCCCTGGGTGTGGAGCCTGCTATGACTGTCTCAGGACCACCCAGATCTAAGCCAAGGCTAGGGTGCTGACTTGTCCCAAGTATTGAGCGAAGTTGAAAGCGAGTTCCCACCCTGGGTCACCCTCTGCAAGTATGGAGGTCAGAGTATTCGGGGGCCAATGGATCATGGGTTGTCTGTGGCGAGTCCTGTGAAGAAAACAGAGGGCAGGGCCTTCCTTGACATCAGGACACCTCTTTCCTTTCCATTACTCTAGTTGGTAAAGGATGTGTTCTTCTGAATCAAGATGACCACACCTCTTAGCCACCTTCCATGGCATAAGCAGGACTCTTTGTAGCCAGAAATAGCAAACAGATAGCCTATTACTTTTCCTGACTCTATATCTCCTGCTCACCTCACAGAGGGCAAACACCAGTGGATGGAGGATGGATGGATGAATACCCCTGACCTCCAAGACTATAAAACTTGGGTTATACACAAATACTTAAAAGAACTTACTTGACAATGTTGCTCTGAATTTTATCGTAAAGTTTCTGTTTCTTTGGCTTGGTTTACACAGAAAACATTCAAAATATTTTAATTATATTGTTTGTTTGATTAGGAAGAACAAAAAAGAATATACATGCCATGTATGTGCAGGTCAGAGGACAACTTGCAGGATTCGGTTCTTTCCTTGTGTGTCTCGAGGAGCAAAGTCGGGTCTCAGACAGCCGTTTCTGCCCCAAAGGCTGCCCAGGCAGATCCCAGTGCAAATAAACAGAAGGGCACAAAACTGCATGGGGCAGGACACTTCACCCAGCACCACTAAACCCTGGGAGGCTCTGTCACAGCCCATGGAATGGGTTAGGAGGTAAGCAGCCTGCCCTAGCCAGGGCGATGAGCTCAGGCTCAGGCTATCTGCCTTGGAGCTATGCCTTGGTCATTGTATTTGCAAAAACAAAACAAAACCAGCAACAACCCCAAACCCAAATAAGAGCCTGTTCGTCTCCTCATTCCGTGGCTGTTCTCCTTATATACCAGAGGCCTAGTGTGGGAGACTATCTTCCTGCCTATCTAAGCACTGCCCTACCAAAAGGCCAAGCAGTTTCTTTATTTAACCAGAGGATGAGCCAGGGACAGCCACGGCTCACAAGATAGGGGAAGAAGAGATAAGATGAGCCATTCAAGAGGCTGAGCTTGAGTCTCAGCAGGGCTGTGTTCCACCTGAAGTCAGGGAGTGCAAGAGCCAAATGTCACCTCCATATTCATTAACCTTCAGGAACAACAACAACAAAAAATGAGCATCAATTGACAAGAAAGAAAGGGTGGGTGGCAAGGAGAGCACAAAATTGCCCTCAGGGTTTGTGCTCTTTTAGCCCCTTGGGAGATCCCCTCTGTCACCACCTTGAGTGGCCTCCCCATGCCAGAGATAATAGGGCTTTTATTTTGGGCTTGGTTGTGGAAATTGCAGGCTCTGGTTCCCCACCTCCAAGAGATGTTCCTGTGATCAATCCCCTCTCCTCCAACATGGTCACACCAGGAGCAGGAACATCAGCAGGGCCGTCTCCTCCAGTCTACTACAGCAGCCCAGATGTGTTCAGCATCTGGGTGAGACCCAACAGGCATAGCTCACTGACTGATCAGCACCAGTATCCAACCCTGTGTCGTATGATGCCTGATACCAATACAGGGAACTCACTTCCAATCCCTTTGCTTAGGTCAGCCTGGCACTGTCCTCAGCTAGGGCTACCCCAGGCTTTTCCCCATCCTTCCACACCCCTAGCAGCATCTTCATGTCCACTTCCAAAGAATACCTAAGAGGCAGAGGCTGTTCCCTGCAGCCTTCATCCCTCAGCTGGCCTCTGTGACTTAGGAGCACCCCGTGCTTGCTGACACTGTACTTACAGCCATGTGCACCTATCCAGCCTTTTAGCTGTGGGGTGTCTATCACCTTCTACACTGGTTCTAGAGTCCCATCACTTGCAAATCTCCATGCCAATCCCTTGCTATCCCACAAAGGTGACCTCCAAAGTGCTGAGACCTTGGCAACAGAGTTGCCTCAAGGTCAGTGCTGTTGGACCACACACTGAGATGGGTACAGGGTTAGCCTGTGTCCCAGCAGCCAGGCTCCCTTCCCAATCATCTTCTTACTAGCAAGCCTGAAGTCACCAGACAGGAAATTATGAGAACCAAAATTGGTGAGAGCAAGGGTTCCAGGAAGTGAATTATCCCAGTCTGAATATGCATATGAGTGTGCCTGGTATGTATGCTCAATTGTATATATGTGCATGCATGTGTATGTGAGTCTGTGCACATGTGTAAGTGTGTGTATGCATATCTTAATTCTTTACATATGTAAAAGTGAATCTCTGTGTGTACACATGTGTGTGTGTGCATGCACACATGTGAATAAGTGTATGACCACCAAAAACACAGGCTTTCTATTTGCCCCTGGGAGCAGCAGCAATCTGAGCATCACTGTGGATGGTGCGGTGCTGTGTGCTGGCTACAATGGTGACACTTTGGCTGATTAGGAAGCTCTTGGAAGCCCAGGGCTTTCCTGCTTACTGGGCAGGACACATGGGATGGTGTGTCAGCATAGTCCTGCGACACTTGTGCTGTTCCAGGAAGAACCAGCAGGTGGATCTTTCTCCCAGGGCCTCCCATCCTCTATCACCTCAACTGGTTAGCAAGCTCCTCCCCCTCCCTAAATCAAGGGAATTTAACATTTGTGCCTTCTCCACTGGTAGAAGGAAGGGGTATCGAATTAAAAGGGAAAGAGTGTCCTAATCCCCGTCATGGGCATTGAAACAATGCAGGGACAGTCAGATCCCAAAGTTTGTCCATTTGACGTAGGGAGGAGCTTCAGCACCAGAACCAGGTAATTAGGAACTCCTCTGAGAAAACTCCCTAATCCCCTGATACT